ATTCTTGAGACATCGTCCCAAGTCACACGGTGGTATCCCCTTGACGGAGGCATCGGGTTCGGTCGCATACGTATCGCACTTCTGTTTCGCAGCATTGAGACTCGCCTGCCTCCTCAGATGCTTGGCTGGGATGTCGGCACTTTTGAATTCCGATCTCAACGTATACTGGCTGTAGGCTATACCCATCCTCCGAAACTTCGCATGCGAACTGGAGGCAGTACTGGCAAGATCAACCGCACTGCTGCCCACAAGCTTGAGGAGGGCGATGGATATTATTGGGATCTCGAAGAGGAAAATAGGAAACATGCTGTTCGCCTACCCGTCAAGCATCGGTACAGGTCACCCGTTGTCTTTGAGTTCCATATAGCAAATCATCGCAAGCCAGATGCCTACGCAGTAGTCTGGCTTCAACATTTCATTGACAACGAGGATGTCGATATCAACATCCCAATCTGGAAGACATCAGCTCCCGCTCGGCTCACACAAAACTACATCACCGAAGAAAACTGCCACAAAGAACCAGGCCTTGAAGATCTTCAAGAGGTTGGGCGTCTACAGTTTCGTGGTCGTTTCAAGGCAGGAATGGACAAGTCCCACGCTGCTTTTGTGACGGATAATGATACCCGTGAAACATATGAGACCTGGGAAGCATGTGTCACAGAAGGCGTGCGAAACCACATTGTCGAAAAGGAGCTGCCAGACCGCGTAAGGGAACTACATGAGCAATCATTGATGTCGGGTCGTGACATTCTCAAGAATGCGAGTGAGGAGGAAAAGCGTAAGTGGCTCGCGAAGGATGGGCAGGACTGGTCAGGCGCTTTTGGCGACAATCCTAAAGCATACATGAACACCAGACGGCAGAAGAGACGTGAGCCTGGCGTTGAGGAACCACTACATGATCGCTACTATCCATCGGACAACGAAGCAAATGACGATTCCGACGATGACTATGGCGAGGATTCATCTTCGTCAGACATTGGTGTCCAAGATGCTGATGCCGTCGGCGATGCAACGGCATTCAACGGTGGCAAAGAGAATAAAGTCAACGGAAAACTGAGGTCAACGAAGACAGACTTGTCGCCTACAGATGATCATCTACCCCGGCAGTCACAGTCAACAGACCGAACAAGTAGTACTGTCGAGACGGACGACACAACATCGACTAAGGATCACAACCAACAAAACAAACGCGCTGAAGAGCGAAAGCATAGGGGACTGATGCAATGGAAGCCGGCACGCAATGCAAAGTTTGCAAAGGACGAAGCTGTAATTGGGCTGGCCAAACTGAAAAAGAAGGTTACTGGGGGCCTGGACGGAAGACAACCCGGCGTTGAGACTGGTAAGTTTTCATTACGAGCTTTCATATCACGCTTTGTTACTAACATGCTCAAGAAACGGGGTAGAGCGCAATGCCTTGCAAAGACACAAGGAGGAGCGTAGCAAGTGAACCATGTCCCCTTCTGTTGGGCGCTTTTTCCATTGCGGGAAAATTTTTCGTTGAGAGAAGGGGCGCATGGATCCACTAGGAAATACTGTAACGAATTATGTACATCTTGCAGGCTGGCAAAGAGTTTGCGGGACAATTCACGTAGTATTGATAATGTTGAATAATCATCTCGTCATTAAAGGTGGGCTCTGCACTGTACATATATTCAGACATTTCAGGCCATACACACAATTTGCAAAAATCAAAAGAGAATGAAGTAGTGGTAATCTGGGATCTTTGACCAGTCGGATAGCAAGTGCGAGGTTCTCGGCGTGGTGGGCGCATTTATGGTACTGTGACAATGAACGGGGCAGGTCATGACGACCGTCCCGGTTCGCCCTGCTAAATTTGGGTGGGGCGCCTTCAGGCCCATGGATACGGGGCTATAATGGTCAAGTGTTCAAGGGCGTAGGTGAATCACCATGGATAGTAATTGCAGTCTATCTATCTAGTGCGTGTGCATTCCTTCATCAACAGAGTACCTTCACTCGTCTGCCTTGCTAGCTTGATGTTGGCCTCAAGAAGAAGCAACAGACCGCTACTTCACACTATTCCTCATAGAGCTTGCAAATAATCTTTTGTCGCCTGAATTTTGGCCCTCATTCCAAGAAAGCGGTGGTTTTCAAGGCAACGTCGGCCATTCTCGCCTCACCAGCTACGCGCCGGCGCTTGTTACGGCACGGGACTTTCTAGCTCCTAAGCCACAACCACTAACCATTCAGATGTCGTAAAATGAGTTGGCTGGGCAGACGGCGTTGATTGACTGAATCGGGACCAGGCTTTGCTGTGCCGCAAGAGGTGGGCGCTTAAAGAAGCATGACGGGGAACGGACTTGCGCCGTGCAAGCAGGCTTCATTCTGCGCCCCTTGGATCATTTGGAGGTGAGACATACGAGGTTCTTCTCCATCTGTTGATTTGTCCCATGTCGGTCGCTGTAGATAGTGCTGATGGTTTGGGGGGCTTGGGTGTGGGACGGATTGCACACATGCTTGCGGACGAAGTATTTCCAGGTCACGTCGAGGTTGCATCAAAAAGACCGATGACTAGACATCTGGGATGGTTGCGATTGATCTCGTGTGTCCAAGGAATGGTGGGATCCTGGAAGTCGCCATCACTGGATAGCTGCACAACCCTGTAGTAAGCTTGGCGATGCATTGTCGGGGAGATACTACAGCTTGAACGATGGAGATGGCAGCTGTTATAGCCCCCCGAGCGACAAAGATACTTATATCCACCGTGATAGGGTGGAATTGCCGTGTTGGCTGCGAGAGAATTACGTCGAAAGGTCTGGCTAACCTGCATATGCATGCCCAAGTGTTGGGAGCAAGTGATTGATGTCTTGCACCTGCATGCATTCAACTTTGATCACATGCTCTCCGTACCTCTATACACCGGATGGGCTTAGCCTGTCAGTCTGGCTGCTCATCAATGTGCGGTATGGAACAGTACTTTTCTTAGACTCGCGACACTTGACGAGAAGTGCTTGAAGCTTTGTGGTTGGTACTTGATGGCCAGCAGTCAAGCTCTGAAGTTGATCTCCGGATAACTAGGTGGCAAATTTGCGCATGGCTGCGATAATTGTCAACTGAAATGCCGACGGCACGGCCGGATGAGGCGTTTGGGCTGTATATGTCTGTGTGTGGAAGGCTCAGTGCGGTCGCAGAAAGGGCTTACGGCATGGAAGATCGAGCAAGGTTCCTACCTCATTCTGTCCAGCTGGGGCCATATACCATATGATCCAACTTTAATTGCGCCCCTTTATCATTTGAACACGTTGCCCTCGCTACGAGTACAACATCTAGTATAGCCTGAATAAATGAAGTTGGATGTTGGATCGATTGTTGAAAGCGACCAAGCTAGTGAATGGAGGATCCGAATGTTGAGGGGAAAAGGTATTAGACGACTGTCCTTTGATGAGAACCTCCATTTCAGGGCACAAGGTCTTCAAGAACGAGAGGTTTTCCCAGATAATTTGCCCAAGCAAATCTCTGGCTGCAGTCATGTGCTTATCCAATTGTGGGTAGCATCTTTTTGGGACTAGGCCAAGGATTTCTTGGATGACCCATCCTTTAGAAACTGCATAAAGAGAGGCTAGAATCCCGGGGCATGGGTCAGTTCCTAGCCGGAATGGCGGGGTTGCTACAACAAGAGCACGCTACTTTCTGCTTTCATGCACCTTGCCGCCACCTAGATCGTAGTTGGGGTTCGAGCTTCCCAGTGACTTTTACCCAACACCAACATCGGGCCTTTACAGACCATTTTCCTAAAAAGTTTGAAGGAACTACCGAGAAGATAGTACTGTACTGTGCCAGTGGCCTCGCTGTACTGCGTTTGGGCTATGGAACGTGGCGAATTCTTCCCGAGCACCTCACATACTGACTACTATTCGTCACAGACGTGTAGAACCAACTCAGATATGACAAATGACGTGTATAGACTTATCCATATGGTGCTTGATATGTAGCTACCCATGTATACAGGTCTTGGAGAGGTGCATCTTATCGTACCTAGCAACTCCCCTCAACAATATTTGGCCATGATTTCGCTGAACGATTTGGTGCTAAAATCAAGGCTTTCATACGGATTCTGAATACAGCAAACCCACGTTGAGAGAAGAGGTGTAGCAAGATAGTCTTTACCAAGCTTTCAAGTAGGCAGTATCGTGGATCTCAGCCATCTTGTGAAATCTATGGGTTGGAAGCATAGTCTGCTCGACTGATAACAGTTTCCCACAAGGGGTAAATAACAGGCTCTTCCTATAGTCCCATTTGTCTGAAAACTTGCCTTCCCATGTTTTACTAAGTTCTGATTGGGGCAGACACTGATTGATCTATCAATTTCAACCAAACTCAGGAGGGTGAAATGAGTGCCTTCACTTGGTCATTACCCCGCGTCATCATCGTCGATCACTAACACCTGACTAGCTTGCGGCTATGGCGCTTACTGATACGAGTTCCAGCTGCAAGCCAACCCCTCGCTACCGCTGATAATGGCCGTGCCATCTGCAGTTTCCCAGGGTAGACAACTGCATGCACGTTCAGCCATGTAGAGTTGGTGGAGCAATGTAAGGTTCGGTCCGCTTATCGTATCTTACACCGTGGGCAGGTGAGGCGCGGGACAAACGCAATCATGCTCTTCGTTGGATGAGATTGCTGTGTTGACGTCAGTTGCCCCTGCGGCAAATAGACTCTCCAATCTTTGCATGCAAGGTGCAAAGTCATTACAGTATGTACCCATGACTCTGTGAAAGTTTCGCTCTGATCCCTGATGATCAGCGCTATTACTATTGTATAGTGTGGGCGAAACAGATATGCGAAATCATATTTCTATTACTATGGCTGCTTCAACTAAGATTATTCTAGTAGTCCAGATGGTGACCAAGCACAAATGTTATACCTCCACAAACACCAAATATTGATGTCAATATAAGACCCAAAAAAATAATGACACAGTTGCTCATCAGTACCGCAAAGATCTTCAGGGTTTGGTGTAATGGTACTGAGTAAAACGGGGCTCAACGTTGGCGGGGTGCGCACTGGTTCAGCTGTTAGCGTAATGCTGAACGGCGAGGACTGATAGACTGACCAAGCAGTGGGCACATAGCTGGTCATTTTGATCAATGAAGTTGTAGTTCTTAGGGTGGCCTTCCTGTTGCCAGTTCCGGCAAGGGTGTCTGTAATAACCACCACCCGTTGCACCAGTGGGCCTACCGCCAGAAGATGATTGATGTTGCTGATTCTGAGATGAAGACATGATGGTAGTTTTGGAGGTGATTTGGATGAATGGGTGAAGATAATTGTCGGGACTGATTTGGTATAGGTGATACTTCTGTAGGTATTGAGAAACAATCGCTGGCAGTTGTGTCCTTCATATCGGAGATACTGTTCGTCACTTTATAGTCGCACTAGATGCCTCTCTTCCTCAAGTGTTGCCATGCGGTTTCCGCGCCTCAATCAAAGATCACTAGACAAAACGACAGTGGCTAGGCAAATTCCGCCCCTACCGGGTAACAGTCACATTGCATTGATGTTCCGGTCCAGGAGTTGGCCGTTAGGCAGTCTTGTGAGGAGATGGAGACGCCACACGGCACAACGAACGCCTCACGACACCGGGGCATCGGAGAGGAAATCCACAACCGTGCCTCCGCCACACTAGCATGCGCATCTTCGAAGCCATTCTGAGAACAGATGCTGCCATTTCGAAGCTGACGTCGCGCGATTCACCATCCACTTTCAGTTTTCGCTCGGCTCTTCTACTACCGGGGTACATAGGCCGATTTTCTCCTTGAAAGCGCCGCATCAACCAATTACACCTTCACGGCATCAACGAACAGCCTAAGGCACCAAGCACCGGCTTCTTCGTCAACGCCTAAAATCACAGCATCCATCTCCAATGTGCCGCTCAATGTCTCACTCTTGGGCCAAACATATGGCCTTCAAACGGCGCAATAGTAGTCGCTATCGAATGCTGGTAACCAACACGACGCTAGGCAAGAGGGAGCGGGTTCTTTTCCACCTAGCCAAGTATCTTCTGTCAACGGCTGATCAGTATCATTCCACTACATGCCGCCCCCATTTTGTGCCTTGTGCCAGCACAAATATGCCGCGTACTTGATTCATGACAACGACTTCATTAGAGGCCTGGGTGTTTTCACGGCGCTGTGCCGATAACGCCGCAGACGGCCTGCATTCCTCAGGAAGTCGGACAGCACACTGCCATCCGACGATCAGCTGTGCGTGTTCAAAGTACCAAATCAGCTAGGTTTCGTCATTTCCGGAACTTGTTTTCGAAAGAGCCATGTGCGCACAGTTTGGAACCCTAACCAAGCGTGGAAAGAACAAACCAGACGATATGGACTGATGACTTGAGTACTTTACGGCTTTCAAGAAACTAGATGCGCATGGAATTTGGTGACTGTTCCTTACAGTAGCTGTTCGTCGCTGGGGTAGATAAGGCTTTGTGGTGTGTGGGTATCACGGAGTTGAAAACATAATTACCATTTGAGCGAGCGGGGACATTTGGAGGCAAACGAAGACTTCACCAAAAATACATTCAAAAAAGACTGTTAGAACAGGAAAAATAAGAAACACATTTATACCCAGTTCAGTATCCTAGAAAAGTCAACTGTTTGGGAGTAAAATGTATGATCTAATTTCGGTAGTACATTTGATCTGCTCCACACCTTCGCATACTTACTCAAAATCCAGCATGCCACCACCACCTTCTTCGGCATCGAAGAACTCCTCGTCCTCGTCCTCGTTATTAGATCCTTCAAGTATTGCGATGGCTTTCCACGCGGCGATAGTCTCAGTCTGCAGCCGCTTCACCCCTTTTACCACACCCCCGACATCTTTACCACCAACTCTGACTTGTACCTTATAACCCATGTCATGAACTCCGCTTGGCCCATCTTCTTCGCCTGCACCATCACTCATGACACGAACATACTTTACTTTTTTGTCTACCGCAAGAATGCCCAGGCGTTCCTTTGGATGTAGACAATCTACTCCATCGCGCAGGATGCGTTCCAGGCACTGCAGAATGCCAAGGCGTCGAACGAACTCTTCACAAACAGGCAAAGACCCATGGCTGTCTATGTAGAGTGCACCAATCATGCTCTCGACAATGTCAGAGAGAAACTTGGGCGGATCCGTAAGCGAGAGAGCGTGCCATGGAAAACGGGCATCATGCTGAAGAGCTTCGGCAATTTGAATCCGGGCTTCAGAATGTCGTTGTATGGCCAGATTTCGTGACGTGACAAGTTCATGGCTTGTGAACCGAAGGAACTGCCATAGTGCTTTTTGGTGAGCTTCAGGTTGTAATGTTTCCTTGTTCGTGAATACCTCTTCCACAGTTGTCTCAAACATACTGTAAGCAAGGAACGAGGCGTTGACCATTGCAGTTCGAATGCCGTGCATTTTGTAATGCGGGAGCTCTGGTCTATGACTATAGAGTCTTTTCGAAACAATGTAGTCAAGCACTGCGTCGCCAAGAAATTCTTCTCGTTCGTACGAGCAAAATGTATTGAGACCGCGGAATGTAGGGTGCGTGAGCGCTTCGAGAAGCAATGCCTTGTTGTTGAAAGCATGGCCTACGAGATTCTCCACCGTAATTGCACCCACCACGGAGTCCTGTTCAGGAGCGGCATTGTAGAGTGTATCATTAGCCTGAGGGATGGGCATCCAGTTCTCTAATGGTAGCAGCGCTTTCACACATGCAAATGCTTTTGAGAACCCACCAACAACGTATGAAGCACCGATCAGTGATTCTATGACATCAGCGATCAATTTTGAAGACCTCTCTTGCTTGGTCGGTGGGTTCGTGATAGAGAGCATCTGACTGACGTATCTTGGCTTCCACTTCGCACCTGTAAAGCGTTTATAGAGAATAAACCCATCAAGACCTTTGGCCAAGGCAGCCCGCGCCAAATAACCATTACTGACAAGTTTACCCTTCTTCCCTGTCAACATGCCCTCGGGCATACGAAGATGAGTAGCCATGAGATGGAGAGAAGTAATAAACTTGAGAATGCAATCTCCGAGAAATTCTAATCTCTGGTAGTTCTCTTCCCCTTCCGTTGCAGATGGGGTAAGTGCCAAAAGAAGTATAGGCAGATGAGAAACGTCGATGTCAACACTCTGAAGAATGGTTGTTCTGAGTGTGTTGGCTACCATGTATGTTTCAAGCTTATGAGTGATTGATGGAAACAAGGATGCCAGTATAGCGTACGAGGCTGGAAGATTGTCGACGACGCACGATGTGATTGCAAGGCTTTCAGTCCTGGTGTATGCTTCGTTCTTATTTCCGCTCCCAACGACGGGATGTAAAAAGTCCCTACGCTTTGGAAAACGCACTGCTTCAATGGACACTTCTTGGACATTCTGTAAAGTCAGAGATACCATTGGTAAGCTGATGGTTTTAGCAATAAATGGTCGCATATCTCCTTGTTGCTTTACCAGACCCCATCTCCTCAAGTCAACATTGCCGCGGAGTACAAGGTCCACTGCCGACCTCTGGCTTCCAATCATCTCATCCCACTGATAGAGTTCAGCTGTTGACATAACGCCGCCTGATGAACTGCAAGGGGTGAGCAGATAGACAAAATCGCAAGTGTCTTCTTTCATATGAACACCAAAGATGGAACGAAGCATTTTCCAAGTAATAGAGCGCAGTAGCTGAAGCTCGGAGTTCTTCAGGATGACGCTGTTCAACAGAGAGCTCTTCACGCTATAGCGCTTTGTTTCGTTCCAATGTAGCAATACACCTTGCATTACAGGCACAAATGACGGGGTAAAAAGGATCAATCGCAAAGACTCCTCATCATCTGTCGTAACCTCAAGCAAAGCGCTATGCCACTCAAGTAGAGCAGTTTGGTGATATCGAGCGATGACTTGCCAGGGGTCGATGGTGTGCGATACCGGTATCAGAGAAGGCTGGTTGTCACGAGTCTGATACTGTGCTATGTGTTCACCATCTTCTTCTATTACAGGGAGGAGGTTTTCGTTTACCAAACCAGCGAAATACAAGGTTTTGTACGCTTCAAAAGCGGCGTCCTTTTGCGCCATCCGCTCTGTTTTCCATGTCCTGGAGCTGTTGGCAGTTCTCACTGTAAGATCGACAGAAATAGGGAGCGAAGCTTTGGCAGAAATTTGACCGTTAATGTTAGTGAAATCAAACTCTGGCCGGGCATCCACATATGTACCGGAGGACAGGCGGGCACAAAAGTGGTATAGATGCTGCATGGCATTATCGAGCGTCAATAAGGCACTGAAATATCTGTTAGTTATTTGTGGGCTATTTGGGGATTGTTTGCTCTCAAGATACAGTAGCTCGATGCTTACCCAGTGGTTTCAATTCTCAGGCATCGTGAGTCGTACTCTTCAATACATTCTTCTTCGGAGCGTAACGCTGTTTGACGCTCATGGTCTTCATATGCCTTCTTCATTTGAGCTTCAAGGTATTGCCAAGATGTTGCGGAGTAAACATCTCCCATGTCCGGAACGAGGATGTAATAACGCGACCTCTGTTGTCTCGCTCTCCCACGTCGTTGAACGAAGCCTCTAAAATAGCAAAGAATAAGTCAGTTTGTACTTTTGTCAGTATTATGTACAAGGAGACTTACTTGAGAGTTTTGGGAGCCTCAAAGCACACCACAAGGTGACAGCTGGGTATATCGATGCCTTCTTCCAAGACACTGGTAGCTAGAACAAGGTTGATGATACCGGCCTTGAAATCATCCAGTACGGTTTGCTGGTTTTTGGGGTCTGCATAATTGAATACACTTGATTTGTGCTGGGATGACTGCGACATGCCGACAAATGTGCCTACACGGAGTAGAGCTTTCGTGCGTGGGTGAGAAGTGAGGATCTCGGCGAGAGATGCCACCCACACTCTTTGCTCCACAAACACAATGCTGGTGAAGTTCGAATTGGTAACGGCTTCAGCAACTATGATGTCAATGAGAACGTTCACTTTGTGTGAAAGACTTTCCAATATCGGACTGGATATGCCTGTGGTATGCCGGGTTGGGAGATGTTGAAATATCTTCAAAAGATGTCGCTTCTCATCGGTGGACAAGTCACAAGACTGATCATGGACCAGATTTTTGAAATCATTAACGCACTTATATACGTAATGTTCCATAGCAGAGTTTCCAAGCTCTTGTGCCATTGCCTCGGCTTTTGATACCAGCTGCTTCAATTGGTCATAGCAGTAAGTCTTGCGGCTATCCCAGAGCTTCTGAAGCTGCCGAGAAACATTGTACCCATTTCTCTGCTGTTCCAAGAGTGAAATGACATATGGGTCATCCATGAGGTCATAATTCACACATGCATTCTTGAGTGCGAACAGCAACACCGAGGGACTTCCAGTGGAAGGATCTCGAGTGTAGTTGACTTGAATTAGCTCTGGTCGGTGGACAGAGCGAAGTAACTCAGATCTGTATAGTTTTGGTGTTCTCACTGTCGCTTGTAGGTTTCGTTCAATTGCCCTTGTAGATGTCAGCTGATACAAACCCGTGGGGTTGCAGAGATTACTCTAGGCCTTGCTTGTTAGCCGCTGCTCTCATGACAGGGCTGGCGCTCAGGCCGAGCACTTTAGGTAACGCGAAAGTGCTGTCGGTTAGCTGAGGCGTATAGAAATCAGACATTATCTTGTGAGCCGGATGTTTCAATGTACAGTGGTGAGCTAGGATGCATCAGCGAAACTCAGTCTTCTTTGAGAGTAGGCGACGGACCTTCATCGAATATGAGTAAAGCCAACCTTTGGAGGCTCATAAATCCGTGTGTGAGTGCATCAAGTAGAATTTGATGCGTTGATATGACGATTCTGACATTGTGTTGAAAAACATTATTCCAGACGCTTTGTGTCGTCCATAGCTCAACGTCTCTTCCGCAGAGAAGCAGATGACCATATCCAGGAAGGTTGGCTTGGAACACTTCATACTGCTGTTCGCAAAGCGCGACTGTGGGTGCAAGAAACCAGACAAGCTGAATAGGTGAGATGTAGTCTAGCGTAGTGGGACTTAGTGGTAGATAGGTAGTATCCGCACCTTGTCGGGCTTGCACATCTCCAGTTCCGCCCGCGCACGTTCGATAGCTCTGCTAGCCTATTAACTACAGGTCTTGAAAAACAAAGTGGGCAGCCTACATATGCGTTTTTCCAGAACCTGTATCCATGACAACAATGATGTTGGCTTTCATACTCTCCGCAATCATTTCAGCCTGGTAGCCCCGCAGATGGAACACCTCGTCCGGAGTAACAGCAACGGTTAGACCGTCGTCGCCATTGTGAATTGGCGAGTCCATAGGCAGCATAAGTACTAAATTAACGATAGCGGCGATAGTTGTATCCTTGGGGGGTAGGTCTTGGGACGTGTTCGCGGTAATGATGTTGGCTGACCTGCGACGTGCAGGTGTGTCGCACAAGGTAAATAGCCAACATGTGACGCATTGTGCTTTGACCAATCCTTCGGCAGGGAAATGCGCCATCAACTAACAGCAGGCAGAGACAAAGAACACATGGGTATTGTGGGGCATCATTTTCGTAAATACTACATAAGTCGCTTCATGCCTTTGGTCATAACTCGGCAGGGGTGGTGCGGCAAGGCGTCTAGCCATCTACAGATTGGTGAGGTAGTCCTCGACCTCGGAGGGACTCAGCTTCCTGAAGCGTGGGCCGACAGCACCTTCTACCCCCTCTACGCCAAGTAATCTCTCCTCAGGTGGTCCAACGATGCCTATTTCGACGGTCTCACCATTCATCTCTCCTTCTATCGTCTCCTTGAGGGTGAGGAGGGCAATGTGGATCGCGTCCTCAAGCTCCAGACCGTCCGTGTATCGCTTTTCCAAGAATGTCTTTGCACTCGTTGCACTCTTGCCTATGGCCGTTGCTTTCCAGGGGAAGTAGCTGCCGCTAGGATCGACCTGATATAGACTGGGCCCACCCTTGAGAATACCGCCCGTCTTGCCACTGACCTTCTTCTTCTCTTCACTCGTCTGTTCGTCGCTCTTGGCCTCGGCCTCGGGCTCAATTCCATCATCCCAACCCGCAATAAGCAGACTGACGCCGTACGGCCGGACACCACCTGATTGCGTAGCCTCCTGCATGACCCTCGCCACGTCTTGGACTAATATCCTCGTTGGTGGGTATTCGTTGTAGACACGTTTGTATCCAGTATGCGAGACCTTGCGTGCCTTGTCGACAAGGACGCGATAATCGGGGCCCATGCCTGAGTAGACCATGCCGAGATTAGGCGTTATGAGACTGATCTTGGACGAGGATTGCGAGTCAATGAGCGGTGATGACGATTTCTTTTCCGTTGCGAGGACGATGCCATTGGTGGCTACAGCAGTTAGTCAGTGGCGTTGCATGGCTGTTGGAGGAAAGACATACCCTTGATTCCTAGTGAGGTAACGCCCTGATTGACGGCATTCAAAGCATATTCTGTTGTAAAGTCAGAACACGAACAATGATTTACATTGCAACACTGGGAGCGTGCGTGCAAGGCGGCATACCAATCTGGACCAGCTTTCCGCTGCACGAACTGTCAGTGACCATGGCATATGTGCAGGCGGTAGCGCAGTGCATAGTTTACCTGGGTGAGAAGGTGGTGAGGGAGAAGGAGTATCTGTCCGCCATGGCGACTAAGGGGGTTGTGGTCCGACAGGCTCAGTTCCAGCGTGGATGGTAATGCTGTAGTAGTCGTCGTTGTTGTCGTTGTCGTTGTCGGGCAGCGGGGGTGGAGAGACGGCGCTCGCAGTGAACGGCGAGCTGCCACTAGAGCTCCAGGCTACCCAGAGCTTCGTTGCAGACGTGCCAAGGCCGGCGTTCGGCTTTACCATAGCTCCGGCCTCTTCGACCAAAGAGCAAAGCTGCAACTCTGAATTCTCCCGCCTTCCAGAACTGTGTCTTCGAATCACCAAAACCGTCTGCAGCCGCCTGCCACCGTGTCCCCACAGCCCGCGCAACCCCCCGCTGTGCGCCAGAAGACGCGGCTGTGCCGGAACATGATCCGTATTACCGGGACATTTGAGTTGGCGAATGTCTTCCCCGCGGCTTCTTGATTGATCCCCCTCGCCCTCTTCATGTTCACTTGCGTGCTTCCTCCCTGGTAAGAGTCAGACTAAGCTCACCTCCCAGCCTTGATACCATACCCACCTGCCCCCCATGTCTTCATCCTCTGGCTTTCAGCCCATGCCGGGATGGTACTGGCCAGATGACGTACCTAAGCATGAGCCTTCACAGTCTGGCGCCGCCTCTGCAGATACATCCTCGCGGGAACAGCACACTGGTGAATCTGCAAGCGGCCCAAATTCGTCAGCGCAACCGCGTGGTTCCAGACGCACGCACTGGCCCCCCAGACAGTGCAGAATATGTCTCGAGACGGTCCAGCCGACGTTCAACGTCCCTTCGCCAAACCTACCTGGCTTCTTACAGTCTTCCAATGTGTCTTACGAAGATGAGACTGGCCGCCTGATCCGCCCGTGCCTGTGTAAGGGCTCATCCAAGTATGTTCATGACGCGTGCTTGCAAGCCTGGAGGCATGCAGACCCCAGCTACGGTCGCAGAAACTACTGGCAATGTCCGACCTGTGGCTTCAGGTATCGCCTGGCGCGTCTGGGTGTCGGCCGGATTATTGGCAGTGTTTGTATGTTTTACTAGCCATTCCCCCCTTATTCACCAATGAAAGCTAACAATCTCGCTAGCTGCTCAGGTTGGTTTGACCGTCCTCATACTGTTTTCCGTCATCTTCGTCCTAGGGTTTGTTGCCGACCCCATCATCAACTTGTATCTTGACCCCTGGAGTGTGCTGTTTCCCTGGTCTGGACATTCAGCTTCTGATTATTCTTACTACTACGAAGACGAATCATCTACTTGGTATGAGCACTTTGCAAAAGGGTTTGCAAGCATGGGCGTTCTTGGCTTCTTGAAAGTTCTGCTTGCTAGTCCACTCAGTTATTTTAGGATTGGAGGAGGCGCCCGAGGTCGTACGACGGGTCGCGATCGCTATGAACAGATCAGCTGGATCATCATTCTAGTTGGTGTTGCCACCTTCTTAACGGTATGTGCTGGGACTATATCAAGTGAAGAAAATGCATACTGATTCTGAACAGGCAATTTACAAGGGTGTTCGATCTTGGAGTCGCCGAACGCTCGAAAGGGCTGGCGAACGCGTCATGGATGTCCAAGGTGATGACGAAGATGAGGACGAGTAGCTACAGTTGCAATCGTCATGTATGATTGAACAACCATGTGTCCTGCCTCGGCCTAGAGCCCTCTCCAGACCCAATCCGCACTTTCTTAAATTGCCACAAGTTATTCCTCAATACTGTGTCGATTAGTCTACGTGCGAAGATCAACCCAGCCCATGACATCCATATCAGCATTGTACGTTTTGTGCTAGCTGGCTTCTTGGAACATGGTGCTACTTGCCTTTGGCACTCATTTTGTTCTGCCTCGCCAGCTCCTCGGGGCACCTCCCATGGCTTGAACGACATCAGGCCTTTGGCACATCCATGTCCAATTTTGAATCGCTTTCCTTTGCTTTGACGGGGACAGACGCCCCGTAATTCTTTTGACATCAAAATCGGAGAACGTGTCATACCCCATATGAACGAGTGTAGTAGAAGACTAGATCAGTAAAGACCAAATATTATTATTGTTGACCACAACAATGGTTAATGTGAACCATAAGCAAGGGCTTCCGGTGAATCCAGCCCCTTTGTCCCAGTGCTATGAAGCATACACTTCTAATCATAATCCCGTTGACTCCGCCTTCGAAAAAATTAAGGACCGAAAACCAAAAACCGAAAGCAAGCGGCCTCTCTTCACTCTTGCTTGCTAGACGCCAAGATAAGAAACAGGAAACGACAATAACCTAACCATTGAAAAGTGTGCCGAAAAAAAAGCCCTGGGGTATCAAATATCCTTATTTTATACACTGCCAGCGCCCTGGGAAAATGGCGCTCGCATTACTCACCAAAAGCGGGGTTCCCGCCCTTCATGAAGAGTCTCCTTGTACCGCCGACTCTGCCCAAGTCTTTGAATTCGGGCTTCTTGCCACCCAGAGCTCCCCCGGGGCCCGCGCGGCTTCCTGGACGACTACCACCGCTTGTGAGTGGACGCTCGTCGCGTTGCGAGACGGGACGATCGGTTGGAATTGCATTGGTGCTCACGATGCGAGCCTGCTTCATCATGCCCTCGATCCACACCAGCTTGTCACCGCTGAGATCCAACTTTTTGGAAGTGGGGCCAGCGAGCCCGACTTCTTTGCCTTGCCACGAACTACGAGACGACGTGGTTGAGGGTACATCTGGCTCTTCGCCCCGGTCCGGGGTTGAAGCGTGGAGAGTGGGCATTCGCGGAGGCGTCTGGTCTCTAGAGATGCCCATGCCCAAACCAGAGGCTTTGACAGGGGTGGTGGAAGGACTGGGAATCGGGTAACCAGCGCTGATGCGCCTCTCTCGCCTACTCATGACACTCTCTGGGCGACCAGGCGATTGATCTGGATTCTTAATCTCAAGCCCCACCACTTCGAATTTGCCCTCGCTTGCAGTCCGTCGGCCATGGTGCTCAGCGTATTGACGCAGATATTCGCCGAGATCAGACCAGCCACCACCAACGCGTACCATGACACGCTCGCCATTCTCCCCTACGCGACGAATAAATAGTTTGACGGGTTGTTCCTTGCCTGGCTGGGTAAGATGGTACAGCTTGATGTCATTGTCGCCTCTTGCTGCTGCTGCAGATCTACGGCCAGACGAGGCGTTGTGAAGATCAAATTCACTCTTGGCAGGGGACAGAACGAGCTCGGGTGCTTTGAAGTTGCTCACAGAACGAGCTGCACGTAGATACGTACGACTTCCCTTCGCCGTCAAACCACGTGCTGGTTTCACTTCGGGGGCGTTAGGTCCGGGGCCTGACGTAAGCCTAATATGCGCTGGAATTGTTGTCAGGATATCAGAGATCTTACGCTCCAGTTCCTCTGCGCTGTTGCCAGGTTTGTGGGTGAAATGAGATGGTGGCCATGGTGCATTAGATGGGGGTTGTTCGAGAGTGGTTGACCCTTGTTCTAGTCGCCGCTTTGGCATGGCACCATTGAGTTCAGAATGAGGCATCCTCATTTCACGGGTAGTAGGGTTGCGAACTGATGGGGACTCTTCTACTGTACTGTGAGGGCTTGAGTCTGGAGACAGGTCTGTGGAAAATGATCCAAGGCTTCCTCTCCAGGAACGCGGTGTCTGGGGAGCGTCAATGACGGCATCATCGCGGCTACCTTTGGCAGTGAGGATTGGCATATCTGGGATCGCGAGGACCTTGGGATAATGCTGCACATGGCTTTCCGATGAGTCATCTGTTTTGGAGTCGCCTGGAAACAATGATTCGGACTCGGCTTGGACAGCACCATGGTCCGGGCTCTCGTTGAGAACGTGATGCACAACAGTATCGCCTTCATCAAATTCCGATTCGTCGTCAGAGGGTAGTGGCTCAGACTCGAAGTTGACATTTCCTGTAAGTATGCTAGACGAGGGGTGTGATGGGCTCTCAGATACAAAAGGCGAATCATCTTCTGCCGGCGCATCGTAACCTAGGAGAGCCATGTGCTGCCGAGGAGACAAGGCAGGGGCGTTTTTTGGGGATGTTGCCGAGCGTATCTTGGGTGAAATAATCCCATCTATAGACTCGAGAGAATGTCCTGGCTTTCTGAGTGCATCTGATTGCAAAACGAGACTTGGAGGTCTGTTCACTGTAGAATCAGAGTTTGCCTCCTTGTGCCCGGCTTCACTGGCACTGGATTTGACAAGAGCTGCAGCGATTGAAGAGGACTGATCGATATTATGGTCTGTGTGTAGAATTACGCTCGAGCTGGGATCTGGAGACAAATGCTGCGTGGTAGCAAGTGTGCTTTTTGGTGCGGCTGAGTCGTCTGCTCGCCTGCGTACCTCGGCATCGATCAGTCTCCTCCTGGACTCATGTTTCCAACGCCCGTAGTCTGCCTCTGTAGCCTCAAAAGTGTCTATCCAGTGTTCTGGCAAGCAATCTTCTCGACCTTCAAGTGTGTCGAGCATCCTGTCCAAACGCCTACCCAAACTGCTCACTTTCTGATGAAGGACGGTGGAAATAGTGTCTATGGCTTCTTTCCACTGTGCAAAGGCAAGATCAGAGGGATCAGCTGGCGGCTCGATGGCGTCCCATCCTAGGCGCATGGCCTTCTGCGCGGTATCGAGGTCGCTGATGTAACGAGGAGCCTCGCGCAAGATGGAGACTCGGGCCGTCCATGTGTTGAGGCGCTCTTTAAGCTTGGTGTGATGTGGCAGGGCCGATAGCAGGGTCTGGGTGATGAGGAAGGAAAAGTCATCCATGACCTTGTAGTGTTGGCGAGTGGCTTCGTAGCCGGCAGAAGAGGGCCTGGACTTTGCAGCAGGATGCATATCCAGCACGTATTCCTTGAGCTCTTCAACATCTAGTTTGAGCATCTCGTCGCCAATCTCGTCGAGGCGCGCCTCGTGTTGCTCCACCTCGACTGAAAGCAGCGAGCCCCAATATTCAAGCGGCGGCACGGCGTGATCTAGACCGAGGTCGAGACGGCCGACGTGTTGCCTGATGCGCAACTCGATGCTCTTGCGCTTCTGTTCGCG